GGCTCAGCGGCCACGGCTCACGGGCCCAGCCGCTCCGCGGCATGTGGGATCTTCCCGGACCGGGGCACGAACCCGTGTCCCCTGCATCGGCAGGTGGACTCTCAACCACTGTGCCACCAGAGAAGCCCCTGCAGCAGACTTTGGCACTGATCAAAGATGACCAGCTTTTACTTGTCTATCCTAGGTTATCAAGGCTGCCTATAACCAAGTAAAAACAGTTGCTCAAGGAAACCTTTCTAATACAGATGTCCAAGTTGCCAAGTAAGTTTCAATATTAATGTCTCATGTTTCAATTATTTGAAAGTTGTATCTTTTCTAGTTACAACACTATTGTAATAAATACACAAAAAGGATTGAAAGGCACAGAAAAGTATTTAAAAGGAAAGGGAAATATACTCCTACCCCCTAGAGATATAATTGTTAACATTTTGATTATTTTCTTGACCATTTTTAAACATAATTGTTAATATTGTATATATACTTGTTAATAAATAATACTTATTAGTGTTTATTGTAGAAATTGAAAATTACAAAGACAAAAATTATTTTTCATTCCCTACCAATGATTCTTCTCTTTTTTTAACATTATAATGCTGTTTGCATTTATTCCATTTATTTTTATTACTAAAAATTTGTCATAAACAGTTTTAATTGGTGTGTCAAAATATACTTATTGGACATTTTCAACAAGTTGGCAGTTTGAAATTATAAACTATAAAGGATATCTTTGGGTTTTAAAACATTTTTGTATTTCATATTACTTTCTTGGTATAGATTCGCAACTGGGCCAAGAGTTATAAACATTATAATGAAAGGCTGTGTATTAAAATATACGTTTGTGTTTATGTAATATTTTTATTTTTATATTTTGGAGTCACAATGTTGAAAGGTTTTACCAGTTGATAAGCACATTGTCAGTATATATGAGAGTGCCTGTTCTACCATAACCATTGGCAACTTTTTCCTCTTTACTGATTTGATAGACCAAAAAATGTATCTGATTAAAAGATTGCAATATCTGTCTCCTATATGGTGATTTTTAAATTCCCACATTGAAAGTGCTAACAACTCCTCTTAACTCAGTAGCTCTGGGAGTTTCTCTAAAAGAGACAGACTTTGGACAGAGTTGGAAATCAGCTTGCATTTTCATACAGGAGTTTAAAACATTTAAATTTGACTCCATCCATTTAGGACAATTCAGAATGTGAATCCTAAAACTCCGGAGGCCTCTATGATCATTTAGTATTGCCTACAAAGGAAATATGACAGGGTGAATTACAACCCAGGAGGGAACAGTCTTTTACCATTTCTCTTCTCATTAGTATTATTACTTTTGTTATACTGAACACACTAAGAAGTGCATCTCTCAAATAAGTACAACACAATTTATTAAATATTGTATACATGGAACCAAGGATCGATAGGATGCAGCTCTGCATGATTGCATCAGAAACAAACCTTATAATAAATTGAAACAATGGATAAGCTTAGGAGAAATCTGTTTCAAATCTAATTTATTTAAGAAAATGTATTTTCTTAATAAGTGTGGCACAGTTCTTATCAGGTACAGCAACATTTAGAAAATGGAATTTTGGTTGTTAATGTCAAGATATATTTATTTTCTGCCATTTTGATGGAGTTGATACTTTTTTTGTAAGGTTCTTACTCCTCCTATAGTGAAAAAGAGAAGGTGAGGTGTCATTGCTGAAGGGACAAACTAATAATCACTTGGTAAAGTTTATTGCAGGTAAAATCTTTTTTCAATTAAGTGGACAGTGTGGTAAAATTGCTACATTAAATTGTAATTATGTTTAAATGGAAGTCTTGCTACAGAGTGCCAAGGAGATTAGTTTGAGTTAAATAACTCAAGTGCCTTATTGAACATAATTTCTTCCTGGGATAAGAATGAATTGGATTTTGTTTTATTTCAAATTGATGTTTTTGTGCCCATATTTAAGCTACAGGGACTTATAAGACCTATACTGTCCTTCCCCACTTTCCCTACCCTCAGTGAGACAAATCCCAGCACACAAATGGACTAGGGGTGGGGTTAAGGGAAGTTATATTATCAGCACACAGCATTCTGCTAAAGGGACAGTGAGAAGAGCCCACATAGGGATGTTCTTTAATAGAGATACCTAAAACCATCACCAAAAATGTATCTAAAATAGTTGGTGAATTGAAGAAATAGAATGGAGACCTTTAGCACTGTAAGATTTCAAAGCTGTTAGTTAGTTTGTATATTTACCCAAACATGTTTAAGGTGTGGGAACATACTTTGCCTTGCTCTGTAAAACTGGCATCTGCCTTAGTTGCACACCTTTTATTGGACAGGAACAAGCTGAAAGCTGGGTACCTAATGTCAGTGGAGTCTTCTGAGGGTTTCCTGGATGAAGTTGGGTCCCAGGCTCTAGTTGCTGGTTCATATGTGCCGCCATCCACAGTCCTTCAGCAGATTGACTCGGTAGCTGACGCTGATGTCATAAATGTAAGCAAATGAAAATTTATTTAACATCAAATAACTTGTCCTTAATGATCCAGTTTCAGAAGGAATGCGTAACCTTCCTTGGGTTGTATATGCTGTTCTCGTGGTGTTTGGTGCTTATGTACCTGGTGTGGAGGCAGAAGGGCTCATCCCCATATCTGCAGATAGCTTCCTTGTCAACTCAGGGTGATGTATCTTCCTCATGCAACTAAATTACCATTAGGTTAAATCATTTTAAATTCTTAAAGGTCAAGAAGAGTCAAATATTGGCAGTTTCATACGATTCAACCTAATTGTCAAGTTTGGTATTTTCCTCCTCACTCCTAAGAAATAAACTCTATCCTGCCAATCTTTCGCAATCTACCATCTCAAGATTTTCTTTAGTCTTCTCAACATAAGACCTTCTCCTGCCCCTGCTCTATTTTTTTTTTCACATATATTGTTTCCTATAAAATTGAGTTGTTTTGAGGGCAAGGACTATGTCTTATACCTCTTTGTATTCCCTGCTATGCCTAACAAGTACATGAACTACAGAATGAACCCAAAATCAGTCCTTTCTGTATTAAAAATGCCAACTCCCCTTCCATGGTCGAGGTCTTAACCATCTTCTCACCAAGGGGTCTCCCCTTGGGGATAGAAAAAAGAAGCAGGCTATTTTAAGATAGCAGCCCTGACTTGATTTCACTTGAATCATAAGTTCATCATTACATACTCTTCCAAATGGCTGTGCTCATCTTATATACCATACTATCATGTGAGTCCAACCCAGCTGCCTGCAACACTGTCTATTAAAAAAGCTGGCCTGAGATAATGTGGGACTGCTCCTCGTGGTATTGCACTTAACCTAAACAACCAGCCTTTGGACTCAAAGTAGCGGCATAAGGAATACTAGGATATAAAGTGTAACTTTTAAGTTAACAATCAGTTTATTTTTATTGACTCAGACTATTTGCCATTGCAATACCAAAGCAGGGAAGTACAGCTCTGCTCAAGGAGACTCTGCCCTGTTTTGCAACGTCAGAAGGGTTTTCCTTTTCCCTCTTTAACAGCTACGCTCCTATTTAGAGCACCACACTTGCTCAGTCACACGTAGGATGAAATACTCAAAGGAACAAGTTTATCTACTTGCTTATTTCTATTAACTTTCTGTCTTATTTTGTTTGTTTACTTAAAGGCTGCAAAGAAGTTTGTTTCTGGCCAGAAGTCAATGGCAGCAAGTGGAAATTTGGGGCATACACCTTTCGTTGATGAGTTGTAGTACTGAAACACATATTGCAGGAAAGAGCTGAACATTTTCTCAACTAAGAGCAGCAAGTATGTGAAAGTGAAAAGTCTTTAATGTAACATTTATCTTTTTTTCCAGTGAGATGAAATATCAAAAAGCATAAATGCAGGTAATTGTTCCCAACTGACCTAAAGTCAATAAAACTTCTGTTTAAATGTTTTTCTTGCGTTTTTCCTAATCAGTTAATCAACAAGTATTTGATACATGCTGAGTTTTTGTTTTAGATGCTTTAAAGGAGAACAGGAATATAATAAGTACAGAAGCATGAGAAACTATTAAAAATTAAGGCTAAGTGGCTATCAGAGTAACTATTTCCAGATTATTATTGGTGGCTTTTTAAGATAAACACAGTTAAAAGTCTGTCTTCTTGGGTAAGAATAATTAAATGGTCTGGGTTTTACCCCCTTTTTTGCCTTTTTTGCGAAAGAGTTATTTGTGAAAAATATAAATTCCCTGCCAGTCATATCCTGTATTCGCACTGCTTCATTTTATCTTCACTGTGGCAGAATTTTGTGGGTTTTTTTCCTCGCCTTCTCCCTCATCTGTTTCTATCCTATCTCTTTCAAGTAATTAACTATCAACCCAACATTCAAAGTAACAGTAGGGGGACTTCCCTGGTGGTCCAGTGGTTAAGAATCCACCTTCCAGTGCAGGGGACACGGGTTGGATCCCTGGTCGGGGAACTAAGATCCCACATGCTGTGCGGCAACTAAGCCCGAGCGCTCTAGGGCCCATGTGCCACAACTAGAGAGCCCTTGTGCCGCAACTACTGAGCCTGCACACCACAATGAAAGATCCCACATGCCACAACTAAGACCCGGTGCAGCCAAATAAATAAATATTTTTTAAAAAAAGGTAAAAGTGGGGCTGAAAAGGGGGAAAAAAACTAGTATGAACAACTAGGCAAAAATCTCATTTCTTTTAAGTAGGGCACTTGAAGTTTACAAACGAGAAACTAAAGTAAAATGTGATACTTGAAGAGTAAAATTCTCTACTGTGTTTACACATTCTGATATTGGGTTCCTCTGCTGCATTTTCTAAATGATGAGACATTCTTCTCAGAAAGGAGGGTCCTAAGGATCTGAATAATTGTGAGGCCTGTGAAACCCCAAGGAAATCTTCGGATATCACACTGAAGAAGGTCTCTAAAGGCTTTACAACACACTCGTGAAAGAGAAATGTTAAGTCTGTACATATTCCTGTAAGTATAGCAAATGTATACATGGCAGTGCACAAAAAATGGGTGTTTTCAAGACAAATGCTCCTGTGGTCACAGATTTGCAAACTGCTGCCTAACCAACTTTTTTTTTTTTTTTTTTTTGAACTTAAGCAAGCTTTATTTGGGAACGCTCCCGGGCGAGGTTCATTGGTCCGAGAGAAAGGGGCCAGGGAAGTCGCCTCCTAACCAACTTTTGATACAGGTTCACTCTTGCCCTTTTCAGCATGGGCATAGTCTTCGAGCCAAAATGCATCTGAGGTAGAGGAGGCCGAGGAGGAGGAGGAGCTTTCGTCGTCTTGCTTCACCATTGTCCAGTATGGAGAAGGGGCCCTCACTTCTTTCTTGTGGTCTCTGTGAATCATCACGTCACAGTTACTGTCTTTTCCTACACTAAAAGTACAGTTCTTCTTTTTATATCCATGCCATTCTCTGGAGATAGACATCGGTCTCCTTGCAGGGTAATGCCCAGTGGACCGTGGATATTTATAGTACTTAAGTCTTTTATCTAAAACTGCATCTTCATTGTCATCACTGCTTGTGAAAGAGTCATCTTTTGCCTCCTCAGTTTTCTTTGTTGTGCTGAAATGAGAAGAATAGTGAATGAAATGGATTCTTAATGTCTGAACATTCATTATCACCTAAGAGATTGTCTTACAACCTGCTTTGGTTCGTAAAAGAAAGAATACAATTTAGCTTTAACACTACCTTTCTGTGTTATTGAAAATTTTCTCTTTTTAAAATTACCTTTAGGGAATTCCCTGGCAGTCCAGTGCTTAGGGCTTGAGCTTTCACTGCCGAGGACACAGGTTCAATCCCTGGTAGGGGAACTAAGATCCCACAAGGCACGAGATGCGGCCAAAAAAAAAATTACCTTTAAATTTGTTTCCATTCCTAAATGGAAATCAAATTCTGCCCTAAATTATTTCACATTACTTTAAAAAGCTTTGCACAGACTTAAGCCAGACTATTGACCAGAATATTAGCAGGCCTTAATGGTGGGTTAATTTCACTTCACACAGAATGACAGGTCAATGTGGCCATCTCCTCCACAGAACTCAGTTTTCATGGGTCACATGGGGTCGGCAATAACAGAATATTACTGATTTCCAAGGGGACATCCAGAAATAATGGCCCTCAAAGACCTTCAACATGCTAATCTGAGTCTTTTTCTTTCCTCCCCTGAGCATCATTCTTTGCTTCTCATCTGGGTTTACATATGTGGATCTGTAGAATACCTTCTATCCAGGTGTCTCATCATTCACTATTCCATCTCGCTGTTGCCATCCAAAAACTTGTAAAGACTTTTTTTTTTGTAATTTGCCAACAGCAAACTTTTCTAATGAACTTTTCTAATGGCAGCACGTGCACCTGCTATTATTTTCCTGAACAAATGCTGTCTGTTACCTGCTACCTCTCATTCTGGTGCTGGATTTGCCAGCGGATCCAAAACCAGACCTTTGTAATTATGAACCTCGGTTACCTTCTCTGTTACTTTCTGTGCTGCTAATAGGAAATAGACTTCTTCCCTACCCCAGTCCCTCCAAGCTATCAGACTTACTGGTGTTTTCACTAACATCCTTGGAGGCCTGCCTGTTTTATTTGCTCCTAAGCTTTTGAAGCTTTTCCTAAAGTTTATCTCTTCTGGAAATGACAGTTGGTGTGGAGTCAGTTTTACAAAGGGCCACTAGTCTTAATTGTACTATTTTCTTTTAATCCTTGATTTAGTGCTGTGCAAGGAGATTCAGATCTCAGGACTAGAACAGTTTGCCTTCAGAGTGCAAAGGACATCCTTTGTAACTGTATTAGATAACCATCAAGGACAGGCGGCAGAGCCAGGTTCTTATTGAACTGCATTAGATAGTGACGCCACAAGCCAGCAGAGGTCAGGGTTAGCTGGAAACAGTTTTTATACGACTAGGCCTGCCCAGAGCAGCATATGGAGTATTCTCTCCGTTATGCACACAGTGCTGTTTGCTCCTGAAGGAAGTCATACCAAATAAGCCTTTTCCTTCCACTTCTGCCCCTTCCCCGCCCTCTTCCACGTAAGATGCTAAAATGCCTTAGCTGCAAGCACTTTGCTTAATTAAGAAAGGGATTCAGAACATGATTGATATTGTTCCTAAGTTTGTGGATTTTAGCCTCATACTTAAGTTGTGCTGTTCTGTGTTTGCTTTTGAATGGTCAAACTGCCGTCCTTAGATTTTTAATATTCTGAATCTCAAACTCAGCTTAGAATGTAGTTGTTCTATAAGCAAATGGTTAAGAGCTCAAGTTCAGGAGCTGAACTCCCCAATACAAGGTCCACCAGCTACGTGTGGCTGCTAAATTTAAACTGGTTAAACTTGAATAAAATTTAAAATTCCTCAGTTACAAATCTTCACATTTCAGGGGTTAGTAGACACCTGTGGCTAGTGGCTACCACATGGGATAATGCAGATACAGAACATTTCCACTATCACAGAAAGTTCTTATTGGACATTGCTGCTCTGGAGACAGACATATACCACTTAGCCCTGTGGCCTCTGGCAAATTTATACACTCTATTGCCTTCAGTTTTCTTATCTGTAAAACAAGGATAAATAAAAAGAATTGGCATGAGGATTAAATGGTATAATGCTTGTAAAGCAGTGCCCACCACATAGTAAGCAGTTATCACTATTATCATTAATGATTTTTAATCAAATCAGGATTGGCTTAGTTATTGGGAATTTTTTCCCCAATCTGTACCTCATCTGAAGGGGACAACTGCCCAGCTCTAGTCCACTGTCACCGTGTGGGAATGCAAGCCCATCTTCTAGTTTTTTCAGGAGAAACCAGAGATAAAGACTCTTTGCATGAAATCTTAGATTTGTAAATTTAGCGATTCAAATATTTTTTCATTAAAAATTTTTTTGAGGGCCTCCCTGGTGGCGCAGTGGTTGAGAGTCCACCTGCCGATGCAGGGGACACGGGTTCATGCCCCAGTCCGGGAAGATCCCACATGCCGCGGAGCGGCTGGGCCCGTGAGCCATGGCCGCTGAGCCTGCGCGTCCGGAGCCTGTGCTCCACAACGGGAGAGGCCACGGCAGTGAGAGGCCCGCGTACCACAAAAAAAAAAAAAAAATTTGAAATACACAAAAAAAAGCAAAAAAGTTGAATGAAGAAAATTATAAATACCTTGGTAGCTACTGCCTAGGTCAAGAAATAGCTTATTACTGCCCCCTGGAAAAGCCCCCCCCTACGTATCCTCCTTTCTCTCTACAGTGTTTAAAACACTGAGGAAGACAAGCAAAGCACATCTGCTGGCCATATCAGTTCCTAGGGCCACAAGTTGGACTCTAAAGTAATGTCTATGGAATATGGACCATTTTTTAGTCTTAGTAAAGCCCCTAGCCATATTTCTTTGAGCCTATCCCAATAAGCAAAGGTGCACAGCTGTAGCAACTAGTGGTCAGTAATCTGGTCAGAATTAATGAGGACCACTCTTGCATCAGAGCACTGAATTTGTCACTTAAAGAAAAGGGAGATGGAGAAATCAAGCACAACCCATAAATTTCTGACTTGTTTGACTATGTGAGTGTTCTTCCACTAGGACAGTGGCAAGCTGGCTTTTGATTTTAGGCATAATGAGTTTGAGGGGTTTATGATACATACAAATGCAGATATCAAGTGGATGTTTATACAAGTTTGGAGATAATACAATTTGAAAATTATTAATTTATGGATACTAATAGAAACCACTGAAATCAAGTTCTTTTTTAACATCTTTATTGGAGTATAATTGCTTTACAATGTTGTGTTAGTTTCTGCTTTATAACAAAGTGAATCAGCTATACATATACATATATCCCCAGATCTCCTCCGTCTTCCATCTCCCTCCCACCCTCCCTATCCCACCCTTCTAGGTGGTCACAAAGCACCGAGCTGATCTCCCTATGCCATGCGGCTGCTTCCCACTAGCTATCTGTTTTACATTTGGTAGTGTATATATGTCCATGCCACTCTCTCACTTCATTCTAGCTTACCCTTCCCCCTCCCCGTGTCCTCAAGTCCATTCTCTACATCTGCATCTTTATTCCTGTCCTGCCCCTAGGTTCTTCAGAACCATTTTTTTTTTTAGATTCCATATATGTGTTAGTATACAGTATTTGTTTTTCTCTTTCTGACTTATTCACTCTGTATGACAGTCTCTAGGTCCAGCCACCTCACTACAAATAACTCAATTTCGTTTCTTTTTATGGCTGAGTAATACTCCGTTGTATACATGTGCCACATCTTCTCTATCCATTCATCTGTCGATGGACACTTAGGTTGCTTCCATGCTGCAGTGAACATTGTGGTACATGTCTCGTTTTGAATTATGGTTTTCTCAGGGTATATGCCCAGTAGTGGGATTGCTGGGTCATATGGTAGTTCTATTTTTAGAAAAATCAAGGAGTTTGCTTAGGAGATTGAGAGAAGAAAGCCAAAGATTAAACCTTGAGGAACTCCGAGGTTGGGTAAAAGGAGATCAAGAGGAAGTGACTAGAGGAAATGGGAAAATCATGGGAGTATGGTATCCCAGAAGTCTGGGGAACATGATGTTTCAACCAGAGTTGAGTATATACAGTGTCTAATGCTGTTCAGAAGCCAAGCAAAATAAAGACTGAGAAGAGTCCACTGAAATCAGCAGCATGAAGGTTGTAGGTGACCCTGGGAAAAAGGACTCAGCCAAGGCCTGCACTGAGGGGGGAAATGGTGTCTCCTGAGGAAATGGCAAAGTCTAGTACAGCTCTTTCAATGGGTTTGGAGTCAAGGGACAGGGCAGTGGCTGGAAGGGAAAGGAGAGGAGAGTGGAATTAGGTGGGGTTTGCTAAGATGGTAGAGGTTTTAAAAGGGCTTAAATGTTATTGGGAAGGATCCAGAGAGAGAAGTAGAATATGCCGGAGACAAACGAGGAAATGGGATTCACAGCACACGTTTAAGGGCTAACTTTGGAAAAGGCAGAGTCACGCATGTAAGTTTGGAGGTGGAGTTGCCATTGGATAGTTTGGTGTTTTTTTAAACTCCATGTCAAAGGCTCTTGCCTTTATCATTCTGCCTCATATTAGGTCCTACAGATTGTACTTTGCAAAAGGACTTAGAAACCCACTAAATTGTGGCAGTGTCATCAATCCCTCCTACATGGTCCAACTGATAGTTCTCACATTAAACTAAGACTCTACTTCATAGACCCTGGGGAATTCTGTAGTATAACAAAGATTTCCTAAACTTAACTACTTACTGTGTAATTGGGAATTTGGTCTCAGGGATTAAATCATATATTTCTTGCCATTCTTGGGGTATGTCAATAAAATCTCGGTAAACCTTGATTTGTAGCACTGTTCCTATGGTGATATGTTGCAAAAGCTTTAAAAATTCTCGAAGAGTATATCCTAACACATTGGCATAGCCAACAGTAATCAAAACATCACCTGAAAAAGGAAAAAAAATTGGTAAAATTAAGATAATGGTTTAAAAGGATCATACCATTTCTGGCTTTATTGTGCGATGTTTTTTTTTTTTTTGGGGGGGTGAGGTATTTCATTTTATGGGTTCATATTGTTGGTTCATTTTGAACCAAAGCCAGGCTTCAGCCTTTATTTAATAAAAATGACCCTCTTAGTGACATAAGTATCCTCTGAATAATGAAGAATACATGCAAGATGTTTCTTAATAGTGTGATGGTAGATATTGTAGCACGTTTTTACAACACTTCTAAAGTCCTTGGTGTGACAGAGGCTAAAAACCATTTATAATCTGAATCATCCTTTAGGATTCTAAAAATGTGTTTCAAGTAAAATAAATGGCTATTACTATTAAAGAAAAAACCACTTAACACTAAGTGAATAAATGACCTTTCTATTATACCTGCCTGGCCATTTCCAATGCCCTTCACAGTAAGCAGACCATATTAAACATCAAGCCTTTCAGTTTAATGTTTGCCCTTACATAGTATTCGTTGAGCAAGTAATTCTACATGAAACACTGGACAATTAGCATGCTGTAATTAAGTTTAAGCTATGTATACAGAGAGTATGTCAGCTCAAAGGGATTTGACAGCTAGGTCCCCTACCATAGCACAGTGCTGAACAGACAGGGGAGGGTGATGGCCAACCATGGAGCTCCTGAGCCCCCAGCAGATAGGAAGAGAACCACATCTTGACAGCAAGCTCCTGGACCTCCAAACTGGATGTTAAAAAGACCAGTTATTCACTTGTACGCAGCAGCTAGGGCATGAACATGTAAACTAGGTCCAGTTATTTGTCAGTCTCCCTGGGTCACTGAACCTGGAGCGGGAGATGCAGAGAGGTGACAGGAGCACCCAGTTTCCATGGCCCTTTGTTCTCTCACCATTTTCCAAACCTGGTTCTCCAGGCTTTCTGGCAATTCTGTCAGACTCAGTGTTCTAAATCCAATGCCTTAACAGAACTTTTCTATTGCTTGCATTGAAGACCTCTGACTACTACAAGGGCATTCAGCAAGAGAGGAAGGAATACAGGGAAATTGCTTTTTAAGGACAGACAGACTCACATGGGGTAAAATCTTAGTCATCAGCTCTTGCCAACATCCTGCCAAATGGTCATGGATACCTTATAGCTAACATCGGATAAAGTGACCCCAATGAGTCCCAAAGGACATGTTCACCTCTCTGTGCATGGGAAGCTAGAGACCCCTCAATCAACCTCAAAGACAGCTGAAGCCTAACCTCAGAGGAGAAAAGAGTCAAGATGAAGTACATGCTCTGATACTGCTCCCCACTGTGCTATAATTGGGAATTATGCTGATCCCAAAGGAAGCCTCCAAGGAATGCCAAGGACAAATTTCCATAGTGCTAGATCCTATCAGCAACAAAAGTTCACAGTATTAAAGAAAATGAATACTTAGAAGGGTGAAGAAAACCTTTTGCTTTGGTCTTTAAAAATAGCTGGGGCTAACTTCAGAATGAAATAGGGCTTCTCCCGGCAACCTGCAGATTGTGTGATCTAAAACTGTTCACCCTGTGGAGGTTAATTAAAATGGTGGGGGGAGGAAGAAAACCTCACTGGATGAGCTTACTTGCCTAATCTTAAAAGGAGTGTTTATGGCTTGTCATTCTGCTTAATTATGTTGTTAAAGGGTGACTTTTATCATGAGGGCAGAAAATAAACAGCTTAATTCCCTGACCCTCCTGGCTGTAAACCAGACATATCTTTGTGTGAATGTGAGTACTCTGGCAATAGACATTAACGTTGCCTTTCATAAAGAAACACCAATTTAGTATTTATGTATATCAACATTATACATTTTCTTTCTGATTTAATGGGCTATAGGAACCACATTATATAAACTGTCTCGATTACCTATATTTAATCAACTTTGCAGCAGCCAAGCCACTACCATCTCTACAAACTAGGCTGTAAATTCCATAAGCTCTGTGTGGTTAGAGACCATGTATGTCTGGTTCATCATTATACCACAGCGCCTAGCAGGATGCCTACACAGAGCAGGCATTCAGGAAAGGCTTATTGAATGAATGTGGCCTAGTGAGGGTGGTGACCAGTGCATGACTTGTATTTACCTTCAAAGCTATATTAATTTCTCCACGAAAAGGGAGAAAAAGCTATATTAATAAGACTCTGGATATCAGAGTTTGCTAAAGCTATACTAGCCAAAAGGATTTTAAAGTTTAGCCAGAATAAACTAATTAGGAAATCAAGATGAAGCCCTATTATTAAACACCAAAAAGAGAGAAATTCAAAGCACATGAATGAGAAATAATGGGGCTGGGAGGTAATGGGGTCAAAAAAACATCAGGTTCATCACCTCTCAGAATCTCATAATTATTGTCAAAAGGACTGAGTTACAGAGTCTTTGAAACCTAGACCTTGAAGAGAAGTGGCTGACTTGTCATGAAGAGATTTGGGGCCCTGGACTTATTCTCTATTGAAATCTCTTTTCTAGTCAAAGGTATGGGCTTTCTAAGCAGATATGGTTTCAAGTCTCAGCTCTGACCACCCACTTACCTCTGTATTGAACAAATTACTTCATCTCTCTAAGGCTCTATGTTTTGTTATCTACCTTCCAGGAGTGTTGCCAAGATTAAATGAGATAATAGATGTGGAAACACCTTGCAAAATGCCTAGGACAAATACTCACTTGCTATTCACTTATCAAACACAGACCTAATAAATGTGCCAGTGCTGTAGGTAAGTTGTGGATTTAAAAGGTGATTTCAAGACTGCCTCTGACCTCCAGGAGCCTACTAACTGTAGCCCCACCAGGAGCTCCTGTTTCATGTGCATGAAAGCATACTCCTGTCCCACTCTAGTGAGTGTGCACTCCGGTTATCAACCAGCATCTGTCCCCTGACCCCAGAGAAGCTAAGGAGAACAAGCAGAAAAGGCCCATGGGACCTGGCCTAGAGTTCTTTTGGTCTGGAGCGTCCAGAACTCTCTTTCTGTCAGTTTGTTCCCCAGCACCATTTTCTATGTGGAGAAAATGCTTTGGATTTTAAGGTGAGGTAAACTTTTGTGATAGCATCATTGATCTACTTAATTCTTTAATCCATTGCTTCTAACCCTAGCTGCAATTAGAATCACCTGAAGAGCTTTTAAACCATGAACTGCCCTATCCCCAAAGCCAAACCAATTGAATCAGAACCTCTGGGGACATGGGGCCAAGGCATTTTTGCTTTAAAAGGCCTCCAGGCGATTCTAATAGGTAACCAGAGTTGCAAACCAGTGGTTTAATCCACTGGGGGCTCCTGTACCACAATCATTTTTGGTTAACAACGAAAAAGATACCAGTCTAAAGAATCTCTAAGTAAGAACAGCCTAAGAGAAATTACTGCCAGTATTTCCATAGCACTGTAGTCCTCAAAGCACTTTCATAAAGATTATCTCATCAAATCCTAGCAACTTCTGACAAAGGTGGTATTATCCCAATTTAGAGATGAGGTGACTAAGGCCAGGAAAGTTAAGGGACTTTGTCCAAGGTCACAGAACTAGAAAGTGGCAGAGCCTGGGCCTGAATTCAGGCCAGCTCCCACTGAATGGTCTTTCCTTCCCACCACCTTACCATCCCATTGTGCGTCCCTGACTCCTGAGCACAGCACCAGGCCCAGAGTAGGCACTGGGAAAACGTCTTGAATTGGATGGAAAATTCATTCACCCAAAGCCAAGAGAAGCAGGGCAGTACTGACAAAGAGTGTAACAGAGAGGGTTCAAATCCCCACTCCTTGGTGTGACAAGGTACAAGTTACTAAATATCTGATTCCTTCTCTGTAAGGTGGTTTAATATAGAATCTAATCAAGGAATTTGGTAAGGTTGCAGGATACAAAATTAATGCACAGAAATCTCTGGCATTCCTATACACCAACAACGAAAAATCAGAAAGAGAAATTAAGGAAACACTCCCATTTACCACTGCAACAAAAAGAATAAAATACCTAAGAATAACCTACCTAAGGAGGCAAAAGACCTGTACTCAGAAAACTATAAGACAATCATGAAACAAATCAAAGATGACATAAACAGATGGAGGAATATACCATGTTCTTGGATTGGATGAATCAATATTGTGAAAATGACTATACTACCCAAAGCAATCTACAGATTCAATGCAATCCCTATCAAACTACCAATGGCATTCTTCACAGAATTAGAACAAAAAATTCATATGGAATTTTACAATTCGTATGGAAACACAAATGACCCCAAACAGCCAAAGCAATCTTGAAAAAGAAAAACGGAGTTGGAGGACTCGGGCTCCCTGACTTCAAACTATACCACAAAGCTACAATAATCAAGACAGTATGGTACTGGCACAGAAACAGAAATCTAGATCAATGGTACAAGATAGAATGCCCAGAGATAAACCCATGCACATATGGGCACCTAATTTATGACAAAGGAGGCAAGAATATACAATGGAGAAAAGCTTCTTAAATAAGTGGTGCTGGGAAAACCAGAGAGCTACATGTAAAAGAATAAAATTAGAACACTACCTAACACCATACATAAAAATAAACTCCAAATGGATTAAAGACTTAAATGTAAGACCAGACACAATAAAACTCTTAGAGGAAAACATAGGAAAAACACTCTCTGACATAAACCACAGCAAGATCTTTTTTGACCCACCTCCTAGAGTAATGGAAATAAAAACAAAAATAAACAAATGGGACTTAATTAAACTTAAAAGCTTTTGCACAGCAAAGGAAACCAAAGCAAGGCAAAAAGACAACCCTCAGAATGGGAGAAAATATTTGCAACTGAAACAACCGACAAAGGATTAATCTCCAAAATATACAAACAGCTCATGGAGCTCAATAGCAAAAAAACAAACAGTCCAGTTAAAAAATGGGCAGAAGACCTAAATAGACATTTCACCAAGGAAGACATACAGATGGCCAAGAGGCACATGAAAAGATGGTCAACATCACTAATTATTAGAGAAATGCAAATCAAAACTATGATGAGGTATCACCTCATGCCGGTCAGAATGGCCATTATCAAAAAATCTAGAAACAATAAATGCTGCAAAGGGTGTGGTGAAAAGGGAACCCTCTTGCACTGTTGGTGGGAATGTAAATTGATACAACCACTATGGAAAATAGTATGGAGATTCCTTGGAAAACTAAAAAGAGAACTACCATATTACCCAGCAATCCCAGTACGGGGCATATACCCTGAGAAAACCATAATTCAAAAAGAGACATGTACCACAATGTTCATTGCAGCACTGTTTACAATAGTCAGGACATGGAACAGCCTAAATGTCCATCGACAGATGAATGCATAAGGAAGATGTGGCACATAGATGCGGTGGAGTATCACTCAGCCATAAAAAGAAACAAAACTGAGTTATTTGCAGTGAGGTGGATGGACCTAGAGTCTGTCATACAGAGTGAAGTAAGTCAGAAAGAGAAAAACAAATACCATATGCTAATGCATATATATGGAATCTAAAAAAAAAAAAAAATGGTACTGATGAACCTAGGTGCAGGGCAGGAATAAAGAGATAGACATAGAAAATGGACTTGAGGACATGGGGTGGGAGGGCGAAGCTGGGGTGAAGTGAGAGTAGCATTGACATATAGGCACTACCGAATGTAAAATAGTTGGCTGGTGGGAAGCAGCAGCATAGCACAGGGAGACCGGCTCAGTGCTTTGCAGTGACCTAGAGGGGTGGGAAAGGGAGGATGGGAGGGAGGCTCAAGAGGGAGTGGATATGGGGATATATGTATGCATATGGCTGATTCACTCTGCTGTGCAACAGAAACTAACACAGTATTGTGAAGCAATTATACTCTAATAAAGGTCTATTAAAAAATTAAAAAAAAATTTTTTTAATGTAGAATCTACCTCAGGGATTGCCAGGAAGGTGAAATAAGATCATGCTTCTAAATGTTAATGATGATTAATACTGCCTACAAAAGAAGAAAGCTTTATCCACAGAGAGCCATAAACGCTGGAGTGACGCTGTGCCTGTATATGAATCCCACGTGCTAGATGGGGGTGAACCTCGACAAGGAACTCAGTCTCACTGAGCCTCAGTTTCCTCACCTGTAAAAGGGCAATAATAGCTCCTACCTAGAGGGTTATTGTAAGAATTCAATGAATAAAAATGCCCAACAGCGAAGGTTATACAAGTAATACCAACTGGCCTGCCCATTGAAAGCTCTCAAACAATGTCATCATTATCATTGTTACAGTGAAACCTGAGTCTCCCTGAAGGCAGATGGGAGAGAGAAAGCGGTGGAGTGTTTGGGAGGCATGGGGAAAGCACAGTCACCTGGCTGGAGTTTTCCATCACTGGCTGCAGACCCCTTCTTAATGAGGTGGGTGATCTGAAGGTAGGGCCCATGCTGGATGATGATCAGGCCTAATCCCAGGCTGCCCACAGTGAGTCTGGTCTCCTGAGTTTTGCTCAAGTTGTGTACAGATGGCTTGACCTTGAGGCCGATTTGTCTTTCTAAAAAAGGAGAGATGTGTTTTAGTCCTTCACCTAGACATCAGCATGACAGTAGAAAGCCAGACCCTTGGGGCAGTTACTCAACCTCTCTCTTCCTTAGGTTCCTCATCAGTAAAGTGATGATAATAAAAATGCCCACTCAGAGGGTTGTTATGAAAATTAAAGGAGATAGTTAAAGGGCTTTTGCACAGTGCCTAGCACACTGTGAATGTTTAATTAATGTTAGTTATTATTATCCATTCACTTAACAAATAGTTATTGATACGGGCAGTGTGCTAGGAAACGTAAGTGTTTCTTGCCCTCATGGATCTTCTAGCCTAGTGGCTGAGACAAATATCAATGAATCATGTAAACATATTTAGAACAACAAACTGTGACACATGCTATGAAGGAAAAGTTCAGAGAGCTCTGAGGGTGACCACCAGGCTAACATCTCCCGTGAGGAAGGCGGGTCAAGGCTTCACAGAGGAGGTTAAATCTGAATTGAGGTCGAAAAGACCAACAGGAAAGCTGTAAGCAAAGTAGGATGGGAGAGAGCAAATTAGATCAAGATTCTGAGACAGGAAAGAACATAAAGGAGACCAGTAGGGGGCAGGCAGGAGGGGCAAAGGCAGAGCAGACAGGCTGCTTGGCAGGTTTACCTCACTGGAAAAGCTTAGAAGCAATTTCAGCAGGACAAGCTAAGGTCTGCCTTCAAAGAAACACACAAACAAAAACCTCTGGCTCTTATATGGATTGTGGAGTCCAGAGTGGAAGTGAGAAATGAGTTACTGCGTTCACCCAGAGCATGTCACCCAAGCAATGTCAGTGGAAATGGACAGTAGAAAAAAAGCATTTGGGAGGAAAATCCAGGAAAAATGGGTAGGGAGGTGTTGAAGTATGTTTTCTACAAAACTAAATCTCACAAGAAAAGTTTCAAAGATGGAGGAGTGATTTAAAACAACAAGTTCTTTTCCCCCAAGAGGAAGCTTCTGAGGAGACTCATTTTCAGTCTACAGGAAGCTTCTGGGGAAACTTGTTCTCAGCACACTCTTCCAGCATTTCACACACACAACACTTTCCCTTAAGGAGAAGTGACAAACTGCTACCTTGCCAAATCCATGTGACTGTGGTGTCTGGGGGGCCCAGGAGTCCTCCCCACTCCTGGGGGAGGGGCTTCCCATGCTCCCACATCTCCAGCTGCAGGGAGCTGGGCGGTTTCATGGCCCTTTCGACTCCAAGCAAGTGTCCTTGCCTATCTCCAACCTCACCCTCCCCCAAACCAGAGATGCTCTCTGTCTGGAAAATAAAGTAACCTAGTATAAAGAAGGTACCATCTTCAAGACTTTCCAGGATTACAGGTCATCCCCTCCTCGAGCCTCTGGCTCCTGAGCAAACAGAGAACTGGCATCATAGACAGGGTCTGAGTTCCAACCTCAGCTTGCAAATTAAAGTGCTCATGATATAATCTACTATGAAGCCCAGTCTCAAAAGACAGCAGTGTTAAGTGAAAGAAGCCAGATTCAGAAGACTCCATACCATATGATTCCATTTTTGTGACATTCTCCATGGAAAGGGCAAAACTGTAGAAAACAATCAGGAGTGTCAGGAACTGGGGTGGCGAAAGGCACTGGCAGCAAAGGGGCTTCATCACAAGGTAATTTTGGGGGTGGTGAGACCTCCACACCTTGATTGTGGTGGTGGTTAAACGTGGGTATATGATTATCAAAACTCACAAAGCTGTACACTAAAAAGGGGGGGGGGGCTCTTCCTGTATGTAAATTATAGTTTGGTAAACAAATGATCGTGAGAGGCCCAAGAGTGTGACTTTCCCATTTTACAGAGGAGGAAAAGTGAAGAAGTCTTGGTCCCTAGGACATCACCCAGTTACCGTTAACGCTTTTGTGGACGGCCTTCTTCATGGCTCCGGGACGGCAGGCCGATCAGGAGGGTCTCCCGGAACCGAAGCTGGAGTCAGTCCAACCCCCAACTGTTTGGAACCCTCCGGGAGCCGGCGCACTGAAGGCCGACCGCGGGCGGCGAGGAGATCTCGGGCTGGCCCCCAGGGGACGCTGCGACAACGTCGCCCAGACGTTGCGCTGCAGTGCGGTCACCACAAGGTCTCCAGTGGACCCTGGAAAACGCAGTATGTGAAAATTTTGGTGCAGAAAAACAAAACTTCTACGGACTAGCACAGTGCCTGGCTCAGTGGGTTCCTCACCCATTCTTGGGAAACGGAAATGGAGACGGTGGAGGAAGCCCAGAGGAGGGTGTCTCAAAGATGTGAATGGTCTACGGAGGAAGATCATAGCTAGTTCATACAAGAGCACACATGCCCTGCTGCGCTCCCGATAATGGTGTTTTCAAATACTGTTATATCAACCGCGCCAACTGCTTTGGAACTGCCCTTTTTTCACGGATGTTTTGAATAAGAAAAGGCCAAGGGTGACCTGAAGAAAATGAGTCACGATTAGGAGAGGAATTAATTCTTCCTTCTTTTTTTTTCCAAAATAATTCTTCCTCCCCCAGACACGTTTACTCATACAGCAAATATTTACTGGAAGCCCGCTCTGTGGTTTTTGCTGATGCTGGGGACACAACAGTAGACAAAACAAGCAAGGGCTCTATGCTCTTGGAACTTAGATTTAAAAAGCAGATGGAGTGGACAATTTTAGGAAAGTATGAAGTATCAAAAATAAATTCTAGAAGAAATAGAAAACAATGTAATGTAGTAGGTCCTATTGTCATCCCCACTCTGATGAAACAGAAAGGCAAAGCCTCTTGTGTTCATGCCTTCAGCAAATAGTAATCAAGCACCTATTAGTGTGCAAAGATTTCCATGGTAAACTGGGAGGTCCCAGCTTATTCAGCTGTTTCTGTGGCTCTACCCAGACAATAAACCAGGGCAGATTTCCGGTTGGATAAATCTTGTGTTGTAGTGGCTGCGACAGAGGAAATGCAAAGAGTCATCCCATTCCCTGTTACTCTCAACATCAAGGCATCTCCTGCAGGTAGCGCCTTGTGATAGATCGCCTGTTTCCTCCTCCAGTCTGGCAAGGCTTCTGTCCAGACACGAAATTAATTCTATTATGAAATGCATCCTTTTCCTCCATTTTCCTATCGGTAGAGAATGGTGAGAGTTTGAAGGAATAAAGCACATCAGCATTTAAGGTCCTATGAGGGGAGCATATCAGTGCCTGGCACACAGGGTCCATCCACCTTCCCTCCATCCCAGACTGAAAGCTCTTTATTGTGAATGCCAAGATCACACTGATTGGTGGAGCTGAAGGATACTGTGCTGCCCAGATTCCCCCTTCAGGACTGAAGAACCTATTCCTTTCCCTCCACCCCAACCCTGCCACTAGCTGAAGAGAACCCCTTGCCCAACATCACACCTACCCGGGGCAGCTAGCATCCAGTGACTGATCAATGCAGGGTAAAAAACCTGGCTCCCTCAGCCCAACTTGAACAACTCTAGAGGGACATCCCAGCTTCAGAGCTCCCTAAAGGGTCTGCTGAGGTCCTCCTATGGCTGCACTGCAACCTGACTTCTCCCTCTGCCAGATCCTGCTTCCTTCTCTCCTTCCACAGATGTGGGTCCCAAGAGCACTCCTCAATAAATGTCCTGCAACTCAAGAGTATTTCCCAGAGAACCCAACCTGCAACAGCTTGTGCCAGGGACAACAGGAAAGAGTAGATGCTAAGATGGGATTTTGGAGCTGGACCTGCTGCCCAGGTAATAATGAGGACCCCATCCCCAGTAGAGGAGAAGCATACGTAGCCTTCAGCACAGGGAGGCACTAAGATTGTTCAGTTTTTCACGAGTAGTAAAATGGAATGATGTGGCACCCACATGATCCACCTGGTGTCTCTTAGTTCTCCTTTGGCCTATTTTACAGTAAATGGACAAAAACAGTAGCCACAGCCTGAGAAGTATAGAGGTGCTAGCAGAGGGTGAGAGGAACCTAGGATGGATAGGAGAGGAGGGAAATGATGAGTATGTCAGTTACACCTTAAGGTGAGCTACAGCAGCAGCAGCAGCAGCAAGAGCTATACTTTGTCCCACTAACTTTCCTCTTATAAGTTTCCCACAGGAAAAGACGTCCACCAGGGTCCTAAAGGTGCTGCTTTCAGAATAGAAAAAGAAGCAAGTGGATCTGTGCAGCACAATGGGTGCACTGTTGCAAGTGCCGCACTGTCATGCCTAGTCCCCTTTCAGGACAGGAGAACCTAGGCCCCAGCTCTTGGGGAGGTTGTAGGTTGACTGCTCTCAGCTGTCAGCTCTCTCAAGGAATTGTCCTTGGCTGGAGAGCCGCCTTACCCAAGGTCATGCCCCATGACTAACATCCAATGACTGGTCCATGCAGAGATACAAAGGCTTGGTTGGCCCCTTTACTCCAACTCAGAACAGCCATCCCAGCTTCAGAGCTCCCCCTGGGCCCTGCCAAAGCCTCCTGTGACTGCACCACAGTCAAACTGCTCCCTCTGTCCAGTCCTGCTTCCTTCCCTTCCCCCACAGGAGTTGATCCTAAGAGCACACCCTAATAAACTTCCTGCACAGTAGACAATAATCTCTTGTCTCCAAGTCAGCTCCAGCAGAACCCAATCCGTGAGACTAAATGAGACTTGAGCTCAAGGCACAGACTGTTAACCTCTGGATTTAGCTCTTTTGTTTTGTCGAGTCCCAGAAACCCCAGGTGAACACATGTGGTGCATCCACCACATTCTTAGCCTGGATGGTAAACTTAACCTCCAGGGAGGTAGTGTGTTCTCCATCCTGTCAGGTCAAAGATCCTCCTTAAAGAGAAGAGTGATTGCACACTCCCCTCCACAGCTTTCCCTGAGGTCCCATTTGGATTCAGCCTCTGCTGGGCTGAAGCCTACCATCCATCACCATAAAGCACGCTGTGTTCACGGCCCTTTAACAACCACGGAATGACTATTTATGACTTCAGGCTGCCAGCATAGCTCCCTCCTGGGGGCCTTCTATGTTCTTCCGGGTCCTCAAGGCTTTTCTGCCTTAAGTAGCCTCATGGCTCATCCTCTCTCTGAATAGAAAAGCCCTAGCTGGTTTGCTTAGGGGTGAGAGGATGGGGAAGTTCTATCACTGAAGCAGAGTGCCTGACTCTAGGAGTCTGTTGGTCAGATAGGGGAAAGAGGCCCAGAGAGGTGACGTGACTTTCCCAAGTTCAAGTCAGTAGCACAGGCAGGACTAAAATATGGTTCTGTATTCTTTTTACTCCATCACGCCACCTGTCCCTAACTCCTAGGGTTTGTCTCTATTAAAATCTAGATTGAGATATAGAGGAGAACAGAATTGATCTGTCCTGTCCTGAGAGACTTGAGACTTTGAAACACTAGGTACATTGGCAAGCAAGAATGAGACTTGGGGCTAAAAACAGCCCCAAATTAATGGGATTAATGGGAAATCTGTAAACAGAGTATTTGGTCCTACCCATGCCACCCACCCCACATCCTTGTTGGTAAGGAATGGGATAGGTGACTATTGTCTGTAGTGATATGCAGCTATTAATCTGGTTAAAAAAATGTTTTAAATCCTTTTAACTGTGTACTGGTTGTTTTTATGCTTTAATCTTAGATCCAGAACATTTCGTGGAGGGGCAAAGGCTGGAGGGACCAGGAAGGGATGCCTGGGTAGAAGGAGGGATTTATACTTGTATTGTTTAAACACAAGAATCAAGTCATAGTTCCAGTTAGCTGGAGTTAGAATAGGTAAATGTTCCAACATTTCACCCTAGGATTCTCATCAACTGCCCAGTAGTGAACATCAGTGGATATTATTTGAGAATTCAGGACTGTATAGTTGGAGTTTCTTCTATTACTTGGCAACAGAAACACCAGAAAGAAGCCAAGAATATGACTCCACCAAACTTCTCCAGTGTTTAAACAACAATAAACAGTGAAACCTCCTGCAGTAATGTGATATGCATTATGTCTAAATCCCTGGAACATATAAATCAGCTTGTATCAGTTTCTGTGGCAGAGGAAAAATGAATGGTTTAATAATAATAATAAAAAACTACCCCCCACCCCCAAGAGACCAATGTTTGGACAGGAAAGTCTGCAGGCTAGCAATCAAACTTCCTTGCCCAATCTATGTGGTGATACTGATAACTCTGTGCACTTCTGCAAGGCTGTTGGATTGGTGGAATTTGAAACTTGCTGAGTTCTGTGGACATGTAGGCATTCCAAAAATAGAGACAGATGTCACTCTTCTAGGTCTTTCTAGAGATGACCTAGGTGGCGTTTATGGAGAAAATGAGCGTCTCATGGGGAACTAACTGGGAAGGAAAGAGCTGGACTCAAAGTCAGGGTTAATGGTGGTTTAGTCCATGAGCCATGGAAGAAAAGGAAATCTCCACTAGATAGCAAAACTGTATATGGTAGGCCATCTGTATTGCTAATAAATTATGCCAATGTCTTGTTTATTTTCTGATTCTCCATCCAAGCTAAGCCCCTCCCCACATCCCACCTCAATAAACAGTATCATCAAACACCCCATTACTCAGGCCAAAAATTTAGGAGTCATTCCCTGAGTCCTCTCTTTCTTTCAACCCTTCCCCCGTTTATCAGCAAGTCCTTCCCTCTGCCTACAAAACAGCCAATCTGCCCATCATCCCCTATCTTCACTACTCTCATCCTAGCTAAAGCTACATTTCTCTCTCTCTTGGACTACTGTGCTTCTTAACTGGTATCCTTGCTTTCATTTTTGCCCCTCCCCACTTACAATCGACACTCTCTTTACAGATTAAATAAGCCCTTGTCACTCTCATGTTCTAAACCCTCCGGTGCCTTCCCGTTGCATTTAGAACACAATCCAAACTCTTTATCATGGCTCTTAAAGTCCTACATCTGGTCTCTGCCCACCTCTGTCTTTTCTTACCACTCTCCAGCCACACAGGATATATTGCGGTTCCTTGAACAGGCCAACCTCTTCCTTGCCCGCTCCCCGAATGTCCTTTGCACTTCCTTTTCCCTCTGTCTGGAACAGTCTTGCCCAGATCTTCATAGATCAGGTTTTTATGAACCTGGCGTTCTCCGTGTAACCTTCCTTCCCTGATTATCCTATGTACCATCGCCGCCCCCTAAACCCCCCATCAGACCGACCCCCAACTTAATTAATAGATCAACACCTAACATTATCTTTATTTTAAAGATCAGTTTTTAACAGTTTCCGTTTCTTCCCCACCAGGAGGTAAGCTTCCTGAGAACGAAAACTTTCTCTCTCAGGTCCACTCCAGCAGCCCCAGCACCTACAGCTACAGTGCCTGACGCACAGCAGGTGTCCATAGCCATTTCCTAAAAGGCGCAGTCCCGGGGCTGACAGATAGGGCAGAGGCAATGGTAACACAAGGTGACAAGGCGTTGTCACCGACTCCCTCCGCGGGCTCGGGGCCGCCTCCTGCTGAAGACAGGCGGCTCCTGCCCTGTCCAGGACAGCGAGGCGGGCGGCCGAGGAGAAGTCAGGCGGAGCGGGGCCCCAGGCGGGAGCGCCGGAGGGTCCGGGTCGCGTGCCAGGGCAGGACCGAGAGGTCGCAACGGGCTCGTCGCCGGGCAGGACCCGGAGCCGGCCTCGCCAGCGCCGCGGCTTCGCTTCCGGGTGAGGGGCGGGCGGGCCGAGCAGTTCCGGGGCGGGCGGCGGTTCCGGCTGTGCGGGCCGCGCCGCGGCTGCTGGTCCCGGGCGCGCGGAGGGCGCGAGCGGCGCGCGGGGGCCGAGGGGGCGCGAGGCGGCGGCGCGGGGTCTCCTGGCCCCGGCGGCGGCCCATGGGGCGGGAGGCGTGAGGCCGCGGCCTGCCCGGGGCTCGGGGGGTGGGGGGAGCGGGGCGGGGAGATGGATAAACTGACCATCATCTCAGGATGTCTCTTTCTGGCCGCCGATATCTTCGCCATCGCCAGCATCGCCAACCCGGACTGGATCAACACCGGGGAGTCCGCCGGTGAGCGGCGGGCGCGCGGGGCCGGATGGAGGACTGGCTGAGGGCGAAGGGAGGGGAAGGGAGACCCGGCTGAGGAGAAGACCGGGCTGGAGGGTGCGAGGCGGAGGCCGGCCTGAGGAGAAGGGGGCGGAGAGGCGATCCGGGCTGCCGGGCCGGGTGGCCGAGGGGCAGAGGGGATGGCGAAGGGGACGCGCGGGTCGCTAGCGGGACCCCCGGGCGGAGGGGAGCTGCGCCCCAGGCTGAGTGCTAAGTGGCGGAAGGGCGAGGAGACCTGGGCAGGGCTGGCGGTCCTGGACCGGGGAGGGAGAGTGAGGGGAGACAGCCGGCGACTTGAGGGACCGTGGAGGAACGAGCTTAGTCCTGGACTTAAACAAACAAAAGTCAAGGTGGGAGACGGGAGGAAACTGAGGCGCACTGTGAGGAATTAGAAACCCGCCGGGGAGGCTGGGGCCGGGAGCGAGGCAGCCTATGGAGTGTGAGAGACACCCGAGAGCTGATGGTCGATGAGAGACCAAGAGGAGTCGGGTCCGACCGCTGACGTCCCCCCACCCCTCCCCAGGAAGCGGCGTCCGGGGGAGAGGTCCGGGCGGGGCCGGGTTCATGGTGCCGGGAGCAGTGGTGCCGGTGGAGGGCGCCGGATGAGAGCCCCCTGCCCGCGCCCCCGCCCAGCCCCTGCCCACTTGGCAGTGTTTGAGATGCATGTGGCTTCCGAGTTTCCCTTTGACGTCTGTGTGGTTATAATTTTGCTTTATTTTAGGCCCCGGAGCTGTAATAACCTTAATAATAAACTTCATTTTATGGAGCATCACAAAACGCTTTAGTGATCCTAATAGTAGTTTCAAAATTAAATAACACATTAGAGTTGCAGGCAGCCCAGTAGCAGTGCCTGCTGTAACACCACGGAGCTGTGGGCAGCAGAGACAAGGTGGCGCCCTCAGGAAAGAGGCAGGCATCTTTCTGAAGGGTATCCTAGGTGAATGCCCTTGCACGATTTTTCTCAGCTCGGGCCACCCTCCACCCTCCCACACACACTCACTCACTCACACTCACCCAGACCTGTGAGACCAAACCTTTAATTAATGTAACAGCTGCCAGGAGAGCTGATGGGAATAAAGGAATGAGCTTGTTTTCTAACTGCTTGTTCAGTGCAGATGAAGGGAATAATGGGGGGTGGGAATGTCAGACTCCCTCCGTGAATAATTTGTTGTAAGAATGTATCACTATGCTGTCAAACTTACTTCTTAAGTATTACTTATGGTTCTGTATTTATCCTGCAATATTTTTAGCCCTTAAAAAAAGCTGTGGCTGGGACATTTGTTGCTTCCTCCTCCGTTCTCTCCCCCATCTAGACCTAGTAACACAAAATCATGCCGTCAGATTTACTGGTTATTAAAATAACACTCTAAAAATTTCTGCTCCTTTTCTTGCCTATATAGTCTTAGCAGAGCTCTTAATTGTAAAGCATATATGATTGTTATGTGACTCTATAGAGGTGTTAGCTAATGCTACAGTGGTAATATTGCAATATATAAATGTATCAAACACTTTGTGCACCTTAAACATACACAATGTTATATGTTAATTATATCTCAATTTTTTAAACTGTAAAGCATATAAAGAAAATATCAATGATTTAGAATTTGATGAAACTATGGGCTTTGTTTCTGAAAATGCTGGTGATGTCATTGTTAGTACTAGTTTATAGTTATATGTGTGATGTCCAGTTCATGACCTGTTGTTGTTTTTATCCTGATTATGTGTGCAATGACTCCTTTTATGAGACTTTCTTTGAGACTTAACATACTTAGGGGCAAAGAGGTTCACTGTTCTAGCAGATCTTTTTTTGTAAAGAAGTTTCAAGTGGAATCCCAATGTATAAAATAGACTAAATGTCCATGGGAAAGATAGAGTTGAGAGAGGGAAGAGAGAGATAAGTAATAGCATAACATTCCTGAGATGTTATGCTCTATTATATTTGAAAGAAAGCAAGAATAGGATGAATACAACTCCTTCAAATTAGGCAAAGTCATCTGCTGTGAGTTGCCTTGGAGATGGGAGGGACAGAAGTCCAAGGTTTGAAAGAAGTAGAAGATGTTTGAAATAAATAGTTGTGAGAGAAAGCATGCCAACCAGAGACAGTAGGATTATCTAGCAGTGTGGACACTTCATTGAAGTCAGTGGTCGTGAACATACAGTGTGATAACGGATCTGCTTTGTTGACTGTCTCTGGTAGTGCTCAACTACTTTGTCACCAGTGTGTGGTGAAAGCCAATAGAAGGCTTCATTCAGGGTTGGGATTTGCCAGATGCAAATGCAACAGAATGACAGAGGAGCAAAGGTGTTTAGGGTGTTAGTCAAAATATTGTAATGATGGCTCATGAAATCTTAGCTGGATAAAGAGTGAAAGGGAAAAGGGAAAAAGCTGGTATATTGGTCATTGAATAGCAGTTGGTATATGGTCAGTGGAATAGTTGACCTGGGCCCAGTGGAGCTGAAGACTTGACTGGGAGTGATTGATACAGCAGAATGGAAGGGCAGGGCATTGTGGGCACAAGGTCCAGAGTGTGACAGTGGTGATGTGTGGCTGAAGTGGCCTGGAGGCGGTGATTTTTTTTTCTAACAGTTTCCCTTGCCATCTCAAGATATCTTCAGTTAAATATTCTGTGGCTAGAAAGAGGAATAGGAGGAGATAGTAAGAACAGGGGGAAATTGTTCAAAATCGTATCTAACCCGTTTTTTTTTTTTTTTTTTTTGGCCTAACCACTGTACTGGCAGGGAATTCCCTAACCCGTATTTCTTGCGGCTAAATATGTCAGACAATAAGCCCCCCAAAATGTAAAATGAATGAGATGGTATGGTATGGTATGTTCCTTTGCTCACTCTTGTGCTTTTGCATTGTGATAAGATGCACCTGAACTTTGCCTAGTGTTTGAGCTTGTATGCTCACTGTACACTTTTACCTGGACAGATCCAGTCTTGAGTTTAAAAAAAAAAAAATCAGTGCAGAGTTATACTTTCCAAATCAATGAAACATTTACAGGAAGTTCAGTTAAGATCTCAGAGGTGACAGGACTAGCTTTATGCTAAGATCTGCATAAAAGTGACTTCACCTGGTAGCAAAAAGTTAATGTGTTGATTCCCTTTGGTGCATTATACATTGTACAAAAGTCTTGATTGTGATGTTTTTACTGCAGTTTTTTAAATGAACAAAATATATTTTGAAAATAGAACTCCTGGAGCCTGAAAGGTTCTGTAGAATGTAGTTTGAAAACCACTGCAGTAAACTAGTAAGGGAAAGTTTAGGATTCAGATCCAGACTTTATCACTTACTAACTCTGTTACTTTGGAAAAGTTACCTAGCCTCTCTCCTTATAGTTCCCCTTATGTAAAATAAGGGTAATAATAGTATCCATCTCAATGGGTTGTTGTGATGATTGAGTTAATCCATGTAAAACATTTAGACCAGTGCCTGACACATAGGAAGTGCTCAGTAAAAGTTAGATATTGTTATATTGCTGTTCTAGTTTATAACAGGTGTCGGAATCCCAATTTTGAAACTAAAGCTCAGAACTTATTACTGTGAGAACTGGCACAGTTTCTTTATTAGATGTTCTTGGAAATGAAGAAACATCAAGAATAATATAGCCAGGCTTAGTGTAAGTCAAATAAATTTGTCTTCCCTCTTGGCTTTGGACTTCTCCATCACTGTTTCTCCTCTTTCAGTCTCTCATCTCCATATTCTAGTGTCTCTACTCCTCAGCTTCTACTTGAACTACCACAAAAGGAAATGAAATATCCTAAAACAAAAAGCTGAGTAGAAGAACTTCCTAAAATCCCAACTAATAAACTATATTACCATAATATTATGGACCGTGCTTCATACCAGCAGTTTTTATAGTACTGGCCCCAATACAGAGAAAGCGTGTTCCTTTAATTTTCATCTGTGTGTGATAGCATTTCCTGAGTTTGTTCTAATAGCTTGCGGATTATGCACAAACTTTTAAAGATATAATGACTGCCACCTTATTTATTTATTTTTTTACTCTCATTCTTTTTCTTTTTAAAATTGTTTAGATTGGATGTTAGGGTGTTTAAGGAGTCTCAATAACACCCTCTTCCCTACTTATATTCTGAACTAATTGAGAAAAAAGAGAATAAGATAATTAGGAGCCAAAATATTATTGATAAAGAGGATATTGGAGAATGTGGCTTATATCCTTGGACAAGTCGCTTCCTCTTACTGGGCCTCAAAATTGAACAGACTTAACTGTCCAATCCCAGGAAGGACTTGGGACCTGCCCTATAAGACTTCCAGCATGAAAGAACAGAAGAGATGAATGCTCCCTTTAGGCAACTTGCTCCCAAGGGCAAGAAGTTGGACCACTTATGCCCAGTTTTTTCTCCTGAACTGTCAGTCAGATGAAGTCATTCCTCCTGATCTGAGAAGGATTGAGTGAGGGGACGCAGATAAGCTAAGATATTCTAACAGCCACACCTCTACCCCGCCCCTCATGGATAGAAAC